AGGTTTATATAACCATGGAAACACTAGAACTTAAGACTTGACAATCCCTCTGACTTATCATATTAAATTACACCTTCATAAATACATATAGGATGGAAAATGACTGTAATAGATTTAGACACATAAAGTATATTAAAATTTTTTGAGTCCATATTACCAGGGAGATAAAATGACATCTTTGGTCAACTTTGGAGGTTGCCATGGAACCAACTCGTTATTCTAAAAATGTTTAAGTAAAAGAAGGAAGGAGCTTAGTGCTGCCTTTCTTGTTTGAAGTGTGTTTCCCAGCATCCAAACAGCAAAGAGGGAAAGTGCTCTTTAAAGAAGAATTGCATTCTAGAAAAGGACAAGGATGCAGAGTTTTGGAAAGAAAAATCACCCTTTTCTAAGGGCGCACAAAATAATGGAGGTATGGGAAGGACAGCTGGTGCCGACATTATTAATTAGGGAAAGTGTGATGTGATGTAAATATTATCATGGATCAAGCAGACTGACAACACCTACACCCAGCACTAACTCTTAACACCGTTGAAGCAAGAAAGTGGGAATTGTCTTATCCTGCCTGATGCAACAGGAGTGTACAGCATAAATACAGTGAGCATGTGGAGGAGGGAGGGCGGAAGGGAGAGAGAGAAGAGGGTAGAGGGAGGAAAGACAGAAGAGATGGAAGAAGAAAGAATGAGGGGAGAAAAGAGGAAATAGGAAAAGGAAAGAAGAGAGGAAGGGAAGAAGGGAAGAGAGGAAGGAAGGGAGAGAGGCAAGGGGAAGGGAGGGAAAGAGAGACGGAAGGAAGGAAAACAGGAAGTTAGGGAGGGAGGGAACAGAATCAATCTTCTACATCTAAGGGCTGGGGGTAGAGCTGTTGTGGTTGATTCCCGGCCCAGCAAAACCAATCAAGAAACAAAAGTTTTTCTATGTCTTATTATGGTTTATAGACAATGGAGATTACAGTCACAAGTTAAAGATGTCAACAGGAATTGATCTACCAAATCCACACTGTGAAAAAATTTGTAGGTCAAATGACTGCTTCACCAATGTGGGGGCGGGGGGGGGCGGCGGAGAGATGGCCCTGTGGTTAAGAGCTCTGTTGCTTTTACAGAGTTAAGTTTCCAGGACCCACATGGCCACTTAGAACTACCTGAAACTCCAGTTATAGAGGATCCAATGATGCCCCCTTCTGGATTTTGTGGGCACTGCACTCATGTGCACATACACAAATATAAAGAATAAAATAAATCTTTAAAAATAAATGAATGGCATGAAAATCAAACAGGTGAGGGGAGATGTTGTGGATTAAAATGTGCTTAACAGACAGATCAGGGAAGAGCCATGAGTGGGCAGAACTTGTTTGAAATCTTAATTGAACAAACCAAGTGTAAAAAAATATGCTTTTTTTGAGAAAATGTGACAGCATTTAGGGAAATATTTTTGTGAAAACATGAATATTAAATTTTGCTAAGTGTCATGTTATATCAAGCCAATGTTTAAAGGAAGTATTTATATGTCAGCAGTTACCCCTAAAGTATTTTTAGGATCATGTCTGGGGATTTGTTTTTTAAAAGCCAGAAAGTTACTGAGAGAAAAAAAAAAAAAAATCCCACACACATAGCAAAATGTTGGCATTTGTTCAACTTGAATAATTTGTGCATTTGGATTCATTATATTGTTCTATTTTTGTATGTTTCAAACTTTCCCTAAGAAAGGGTTGAATTAAAAGAAAAGAAATTAACATAAAACATACTGACTGAATTCTTCATTTCCCAGTTTATCTGGAGGGGAAAGAAAAATAAAACCAATAAGAAACAACGTAATCTAAATCCACTTATCAAGTCAGAGTAGAGAGAATTCACACCTTGTATAAAATTCAACATTAGGGCCCAGTGAGATAGCTCTGTGGGTAAAAGTGCTTGCTGCCAAGCCCGAGGACCTGAGTTCAATCCCCAGGGCCCATATGGTGGAAAGAGAGACCCAACTTCTGAAAGCTGTTCTCTGACCTCCACATATACACTGTGATGCCCCTCAACATACACACACACTAATAATAAAATTTAACTTTACAGATTGCAAACATTCTACCAAGGAATGCCATTTTATTTTACAACTGATAGCCATTTTGCTTGTCTTTTGGATGTTTTCTTGAGGCAGGGTTGTTTGGTGTGTGTGTGTGTGTGTGTGTGTGTGTGTATATATATATATGGTTTGAATGTGCACCTTTCCATTCAGCTCGTGTTTGTGAACACTTGCTCCCCAGCAGGTGGTGCTGTCTGAGGAGGTTTGTGAGGTGTTAAGCGAACACATTCTGAACATCTGAATGTGTCTCTGTCTCCCCTTCGGGACGGCTGCCAGATGCGGCTCAGCAATCCTGGGCGCTCATTATTTTATAAGAGTTCAGAAGAATGCATTTTCTTCTCAAATTAACCGTTGTGGCAAAATCTGAAGACACCTGATTCTACATTATTTAAGAGCAATTTACTTCTCTCCTTGGAAGATCTGCTCCCTCTTAAGATTTACTGGTCTGGACTGCTCAGATGGGTCAGTAGGTTAAGGTGCTTGCTGCTAAGCCTAATGACCTGAGTTCGATCCCTGGGACCCACATGGAGGAAGGAGAGAACTGCAAATTGTTCTCTGACCTTCATATTCTCTCTCTCTCGTTCTCTCTCTCACACACAAATAAGTGTAACAAAAATTCAAAATAAAAGATTTAGACATTATTGTCACAGGCTTTGTTAATAGTTTCTGATTAATGTTACTCAGAATAACAACAAAGCTTGTAAGTGCTACTCTCGTTTATTTTCTCAATCCTAGGGTTTTGTTTTGTTTTTTAAATCTATTACTCTGTCAATTGTTTTGGTCCTAGGAAGCTGCTTTTCACCCAAGCAACAGCTCTGAACTCAACTCAACTGTCTGAGTGCTGGAACTAAAGGTGTATACCACACACCTAGGCAGACGTTTTATTTTTCAAATTAATTAGTTAATTTTTTTTGAGATAAGGTCTACATAGCCCCAGCTGGCCTGGAACTTACTATGTAGACAAGGCTGGCCTCCCTAGAGAATGGTGCTTCCCACAGAAGGCTGGGTCTTCCCACATCAGTCAACACAAGACAATCCTTCATAGCCATGCCCTCAGACCAACCTAATTTAGATATTTCTTTATTAAGATTCCCTTCTTCTGGGATTGTAGATTGTGTCAAGCTGAGAGTTAAAACCGACCAGCACAAGAGTGATAGAGGAGGACACCGGATACTGGTTAAATCAGGGTAAGGCAGAATTTGTTGCCCAGCACCAACACAATAGATGCTGAGAGATTTGGGGATGAGATTTTGCAATGGGAGATGGAGGTTGGGCTCAACACCAAACAGCGTTGGTAATGGGAGTTTACAGTCCAGGAACAGGCTGAGAGAGCCAGTGGATAGATAAGAGGAGACACCAAGAATAAGGGGGATTTTTCTCCTGTAAGATTCTTACTGAATTCAGGCCAGGATAGTCACATATCACCTGGGGGTTGGTGGTGGTGGAGGATGAGAACCTGATGAGATGTGGGTGGTGAGCAAATATCAAGGCTTGGAAGTCCCTCCTCAAGTTTTTTAACAGATACCTGCTACAAATGGATTCTACAAGCATTGCCTGGAAATATTCTGGAGTTTGACTAAAATTTGGATCAAGCAGAGAATGTTTCCCACCAAGCACTAAAGGATGCTGCCAGAATTCACTGGGATTTAGAGATCTTAACTTTAAGATGCAATGGCTGAGGCGTGTATGGCAACTCCTTCCGTCATTCCAGCACTTGGGGAAAAGAGGATCATGAGTTCAAGATTAGCCTCGGTACAGTGTGAGAAGAGGACCTGTCTCAGAATTTAAATAGATACATGAATAAACAAATTAACCAATAGAAACTTTGAAATGAATCAGTGGTTCCCAACATTTTGTTTTTACAGTGCAAGTATTGTGTCAAAAGTGAGTAGAAGTCAACATAGGGGCAACGTAACTGGAGCTCACTTGATCTGGAGGTCAAACAGAGGGTCCATTGCTCTCCCCCTTGGCCTCCCACCTCAGTCTCCCATGTAAATATATCTTCTTTAAAAAGAAAATTTTATTTTTACTGTATCCCCTGGGAGCTGGAGTTGTTACAGATGGTCGTGAGCAGCTATGTAGGTGCTGGGAACTGAACCCAGGACCCGTCCTCTGCAGGAACAGCAAGTACTCTTAACTCCTGAGCCATCTCTCTGGTCCTCCCGTAACTATTTCTGAGAAAAGGAAAGGTCCCTAAGAACACTACACTTCCCTTCCTCAGACAACTTAGGGCTCTGCCATGCTTACAAGCTGCTATCTTATTTTCATTCACTTCTGGTGCTGTGATAAACACCCTGGCAAAAAGCTACTTAAGGGAGAAAGGGTTTATTTGGTTCACAGTTCCAGGTTACAGTCCATCATTGAGGGAAGTCAGGACAGGAACTTGAAGCAGCTGGTCACATCATAGTCAAGAAGCCCAAACCAAGGAGTGGTGCTATACACGGTGGGCTGGGTCTTCCCACTTCAATTAAGGCAGTCAAGACAACTCCCTCAGACATGCCCAGAGGCCAACCCGATCTAAAAAATTGCAACTCTCTTCTAGGCGATTCTACATTGTGTCCATTGTGTCAAGTTGACAGTTAAAACTAACCATCACACCACCAAAATACCTAGGATGGAAATAGCAATCTAAGAGGCTACTTAATTTTAAGAAAAAAGACAGGAAAACAATACAAGAAGGAACCAGACTTTCCAATGTATACCAAGAGTGGGTCAGGAATGTGTGAGACGCTCTGGTCAGTTTTTATAGAAGAACTCCCAAGATATCCCCACCTAAGGAAAAGTCCTTCTTAGATACCTTCCCAGAAATGGGGTGAGATAAATGAATCTGTCACTCATCAGCTATGAGAAGCTATAAACATATCTAAGAAGGTCCAGTATCTCTGTTCAGAAACAGATGAATCAGGAGGAAGGGATATTGCACTACCAACCTTGATTCCAAGTTCAATATTTTCCCCTCCGTACACATCCATCCCAGGGTCCAGTAGACCAATTTCACCAAAGAACTTCCTGTTGACCACAAATGAGCAGCCAATCATGGCTGGTGTCCTGTAGGAAAGAGAAAGAAGTTAAGTTTAGCAACATGTAGGCAGCAGACACCCTTCAGTAGACACTCTCATAACATGTACAGGAATTTCCCCTTCCTTCCTTGAGCCCTTAATGCCCCACACTCCACCTTTTCATCAGGCTACCATTTAGCTGTAGAAGAATCAGGAACATTAAGTGTCCAGGGACACCCCAGTTCCCTGAGAAACTGGATAGGGATTGGTATGATACGGTGTCTACAACATGGAAGTGGTTCTTACCGCATGCTGCAGCAGTCAAGTAACACCATGGAGACCCAAAGGCTCTATGACCTTCCAGTCAGTGGAAGCAACAGGGCTCATTTGCTCTACCGCAGTAAGTAGAAGTGATCTAGCAAACTCTCCATGTGGAGGCAAATCTGAGAGGGAGGGTGTGATGGTGAATCATCACTGTCGACTTAACTGGAGGATTTGGAGCCATCTAGCCAACACACCCCTGAGAATGTTTCCACAGAGGATTAACTGAGGAGGGAAGACCCACCCTGAATGTGGGCAGCACCATCTTGTGGGCTGGGGTCCCAGACTGAATAAACATGAGAAAGTGAGCTGAGCACCAGCATTCATCTCTCTGCTTCCTGACTGTGGACACGATGTGAGCAGCTGCCTCACACTCCTGCCACCATGCCTTCCCACCATGATGGACTATGTCTTTAAACTGAGTCAGAATAAGTTCTTCCTTCCTTCAGTTTCTTTTGTCAGACAACAATGAGAAGAGTAACTGAATCAGAAAGTCCAAATATCAAAGCATCCAGTCTCCATGTTCTGTCTGGAGACACTGGATCAGGGAGCCTAGAGAAGAATGTCTAGAGGAAGGAGATGTCTCAGAGGGGAAGGCCTTAGTGTCCCATGGGTGTCTGAGACATTTTCAATTGCATGACCCTGGGGGTTTCCTCCTTGGAATAAGACTGAGAAAGGACAGCTGCCCAAGCTGGTGTGAGAGTGCACAGGAGACACAGCAGGCCAGGCCTCTCTGTCTGCATCCTGGGCAGGTCATCAGAACCCAGAGACAAGAGGTGGGAGGTTCATCCTGATGGAATGGGAATAGAGATATCTCTGTTAGTGTCTTTTGAAAAGATCATGGTTGAAACTGCCCACAGAGTCAAGGAGTCTTACAGGGACTATGGGAAAAAGAGGCTGTAGCAAGCCCCAGGATAAGTAAGCAGGATGCAGGGTCCCTTTGAAAGGAACGCCAGGTTCTGGGGCTACCCTACAGTGCTAGGAGCAGGTGAGGCTCCCACAGACGGGGTCATGACTTAATTGGTGAACAACATGGAGACTGAATAATTAATACACCCTCAAGCTGGGTGTGGTGGTGGTGCACACCTGTAATCCCAGAAGTAGGAAGATGGAGACATGATAGTGAATTCAAGGCTAGCCTGAGCTATATAGTGAGCTCAAGGCAACCCTGGCTACATAGCAAGTTCAGGTCCTATCTGGGCTATATAATGAGTTCAAGGCCAGCCTGAGGTATCTAGTGAGTTCAAGGCAAACCTGGGCTATATAACAAGTTCAAATCCAGTTTGGGTTACACAGTGAGTTGAAGACCACATTGGGCAACATGACATGTCTAAGGCCTAGGATATACAGTGAGTTCAAGACCAGCTTGGGCTACATGGGGAGTTCAGCCTCAGATACACAGTGAGGTCAGGGCAAGGTTGCATTACATCTCATGTTCTAGGCCAGCCAGAGCACATAGCAAGTTCAAGGCCAACATGGGCTACATAATGGGTTCAAAGCCAACCTGGGACACACTGTGAGTTCGAGAGCAGCTTGGGCTACATAACAAATTTAAAGCCAGCCCAGGGTACACAGTGAGCTCCAGGCAAGTCCAGGGTGCAGGTGAGTTCAAGGCAAGCCTGGGCTACCTAATAAGCTTGAGGCTGGACCAGCCAGTGTTGCTGGTGAGTTCAACGGATGATTTCCTAGAATTTTGGGACCACCTGATTGGGCATACAATGACCAGTTGTCCTCTTTCTGGGAGAACAGTACCCTGGCAGGAAGCAGCTGTCCACCCCACTGGTGCCTGTGGCTGTGTCTGGTGGCAGGTGAGCCAGCCTTGACCTGTCAGTGAACCCAGAAGACAGTGCAGCTTTACTTCCAGGGGAGGCATCTGCATCACTTGCCCAGTCATGCGAGCTGTAGTCGGGGATACTTTAGGGCTGACAAGATTCTAGAGCACATACTTATAGCCTCATTCTTCAACCTCAACTGTGACTACCACCATTAGTGCAAGCATTTCAATTCAAAATCATTCAAAAATGATAATCGCATTAAGAGAATCTGCCAAAGCCCTAATAGCTTCATTACTGAGAACAGAAATTAAAAATAATCACTTTTATTGTTGCTGTTTCATAAAGTATATGCAGCACACACAAGTGCTGAGTGAGAGAGAGAAAGAGAGAGACTGAGAGAAAGTCTGAGAGAGAAGAGAAAATCCATCAGGAGTGGGGGGAGGCAGGTCAATGAATTCACACTCAGAGGTAGAGTTTCCTTAGTTTCCATGTTCTTTTCACAAGTTTGTCAAAAGCCTGCCTGTATGTGCCCTCTATCAACTCCTTCTATGGTTTGAGTCTAAAGCATCCTCCATAAGCTTATATGTTCAAACACTTGTTCCCAAGCAAGAGGTGCTGGGAAGGGTATGAAACCTTTGGGGGGCTAGCTGACAGAAACAGATTGTTAAAAGGGGAGAACTCTGAAGGTGGTACCTTAGCCACTACTTCCTTTCCATTTTCGGCTTTCTGGTCCACCATGATGTGAGAAGTCTCCACCATTAACTTGTCCATGGCTTCCCAGCCATGATGGATGAAACTTTCTAAGACATGGGCCAAAATAAATCTTTCCAACCTGAGATGGTAAATATCAATGACCAACTTGACAGGATAATGAGTCACCTAGGAGACAAACCTCTCTGGACTCGTCTGTGAGGTAGTTTCTAGATTGGGTTAACTGAGGTGGGAAGACCCACCCTGAATGTGGACAGCACCATCCCATGGCCTGGGGCCCTGGACTGAATAAAAAGGAGAAAGTGAGCTGAGCACCTGCATTCACCTCTCTGCTTCCTGACTGTGGATGCCATGTGAGCAGCTGCCTCACAGACCTGCTGCCATGTCTTCCCACCATGATGGACTGTGCCCTCAAACTGTGAGACAGAATAAACCCTTCCTTCCTTAAGTTGTTGTCCTAGTTTGTTTCTTCATTGCTGTGACAAAACACTCTGACCACTACCAACATGGTGAGTAAAGTGTCTATTTATCTTACATCTCCCTGGTCACAGTTCATCAGGGAGTCCAAGGCAGGAACTCAGGGCAGGAACCTGGAGGCAGGAGCTGGAGCACAGGCCATGGAGGAACACTGCTTACTGGCTTGCTCCCTGGCCCCTGCTCAGCCTGCTTTCTTATGGAACACAGGCCCACCTGCCCAGGGGTGGCACCATCCACAGTGGGCTGGGCCCTCCCACATCACTCAACAATCAAGAAGATGCCCTATAGACATGGCCACAGGCCAGTCCAGTGAAGGCAATTCCCCAATTGAGGCTCCCTCAACCCAGGTGTGTCAAGTTGACACTAAAGCTATCCAGCATAGTTGCTTTGGTCAGGTATTTTGTCACAGCAATGAGAAAGATAACTAACACACTCCTACACTAGAAAGGTAGAGGTCTTCAGTGGTAGAACACCTGCCTGCAGTGTGGGGCTGGGGGTGTGACTCATTAGTAGGGCATCTGCCTAGGCTGGGGGCTGGCTTAGTGGTAGCTTGGTTGATAAACACTCGCGTATTTTAGTGTGATTTGTAATGCCATGCACCATGAATCCTTTTGCATTTCCTAATAACCAAAGTACGGTTCTAGGCCCTGTATGCTGAGAAGACCAATAGATTGAACTGGGGAAAGAGAGGGGATCTGACTGGCGCAAATGGCTCAGCTTGAGACACATTAAGTCCATTATCTGTCTGAGGGAACTGAGGCTCAGAGATTGTGTTAAGCTAGCTTCCCATCACTATAGTGAATACCTCAGACTTATAAAGAGAAAAAGGCTATTTTGGCTCTTGGTTTGAAAGATTCCACTCCATAATTAAATGGTACTATTTATTTAATTAATTTATTACATTTTTAGTGTGTGTATGCAGATGCATGCATATATGCATGCATGCATGCAATTGACACACGTGTGGTGGTCAGAAGACAACTTTCTGGAGTCACTTCTCTTCTTCCACCATATGAGTTCTGGGGATTGAACTCAGGCTTTCACGCTTAGTGGCATGAGCCTTTATCTGCTGAGCCGTCTTGCCAACTCAGCTCCATTGTTTTTAAGTTTCTTCACAGAGTCCTGGACAATAAGGGCAGGATGCACACGCCAGAGAAAAATTGCTTGACTCCTGGCCAGAGGGCAGAAAGAGAAAAAGAAGAAGGGACTGAGGTGCTCTGTCCCCCTTCAAAGACAAATTCCCAATGGCCTTAAAACCTCCTACCAGGTTCTACCTCTTTTGTGTGTGCAGGGACACATGTGTGCATGTGTGTACAGGCATGTGCACATATATTACATGTGTTTCTGTATGTGCAGGTACGTGTGTGTGTGTATGTGTGTGTGTGTGTTTGTGTGTGTGTGTGTGTGTGTGTGACAACCAGAGGACAACCTCAGCTATCCTATTTCAGGTACTGTGTACTTTGTTTTTTGAGACAGGGTTTCTCACTGGCCTGGAACTCATCAAGTAGGCCAGGCTGGCTGGTCAGGGGGCCCCAGGGATCCTCCTGTCTCTGCCTCCCCAGTGCTGGGATTACAGGCATACGCCACCACACCTGGCTTGTAGGTCAGGCACTTTACTAGGCTGAACCATCTCCCCACCCCAAGGCTCCACCCCTTAAAGCTTCCAAGGTGTCCTAGCAGCACCTCCCTGGGGAACAAGGCTTTAGCACATGGCTGTCTGGGGATATTTCAGGCTCAAACCACATCAGAGGTAAAAATGACCTGA